GGTGCTGCTGCTGGAGGCGCTCCTCCTGGGGCTGGCGGCGGGGCCGAGGCTGGCCCCGAGGCTGGCCCCGAGGCTGGCCCCCCACAGGGGTCGACGACCCAGAGGTGATCAAGGCCTTCCTGGAGGCCATGAACGCGGCGGTGGCGATGGACGAGGACGAGCTCCGCGAGCTCCGCCAGGCAGCCAAGCGGCTGGGCGAAGGCCCCTCCTCGTTCGCAAAGCGGCGCAGGACGGCAACTTCGCTGCCGCGTTCTGCTGGACTCCATCACGACGGCGTCGGCATCCAGCAGCAGTGGAGTGGTCGGCCAGGCGACAGGTCAGCCGTCCAGGACCTGCGTGGACTGGAGGCTGCGGGGGCCCTCTCGGCAGTGTCGAGTCGCGTGCTCGTGGGAGCCTTGAAGGCGCGTCCGGTGGCCGCCAGCGCATCGCAGCGTCTGGGTCTTCCACCTCGGCATCGGCCTCTGCGACGACTGGGCCTTCGACGTCGTCTGGGGCTTCTGCGTCGACTGCGCCGTCCTTCCTGCCTCCCCACTGTCACGCGCCCTCCCTCCCCCACCTGCAGACGAGGAGATCCTGCGCGGGGGATGTGCAAAGAAAACAACCGAGAACGTGGGAAATACATGCCTTCAACGACTGGCGTGCATTGAACCATAAGAAGAAGCGCCACGAGATCTGGGGAGACATCGTGGCCCCGGCCGTGCGATCCACCCCCCCTAATCACCCCCTCATGGCAGCTCGCGGGAGATACAAGACGCGGCCAAGACGAGGACAAAATCGGATAAGGATATATCGAGAATCTCTGAGATCCAGCGGCGCTGGAGGACGTCTGGGGCGCCGCGGCCTTCTCAAAGCGTTCCGAAACGCTCTACAAGCGTTCTAAAACACTCTAGAACAAATATATCCTCGTCCTAGCCCCGTCCGACCACCTTCCCAGATGGGGTCGGAGCAGATGGGGTCGGAGGATGATACCACGTCATCGATACATCGCCCATGCATCGGCCATGCATCGGCGATGCGTCGGCGATGCGTCGGCGATGCGTCGGCGACGTCGGCGGTGCATCGGCGACGCCAGAGTTGAGAAAACCGGGCTCCGCATCGAGCCGCATCGCCGATGCATCGGCGATGCGACGCCATCCTCCGACCCCGTCTGCTCCGACCCGTCGGCGGCGTCGTCGTCGTCCTCCCTCCTCCCTCCTCCCTCCCCCCCCTCCTCTAGGAGGCCCTCCTCCCTCCTCCCTCCCCACCCTCCTCTAGGAGGCCCTCCTCCCTCCTCCCTCCTCCCCCCTCTGTAGGAGGCCCTCCTCCCTCCTCCCTCCTCCCCCTCCTCTGGGAGGCCTAGATCTTGGCCGCTCGAGAGAGAGATGCCCTCTCCGCCCACGGCGCCTCAGCGCCCTGGGCGGCCGCCCCGGCGCTGGCCTCGGCCGCCGCGCCCTCTGCCGCCACGGCCTTGGCCGCCGCGCCCGCGGCGCCGGCCGCCGGGGCGCGGTGGCCGTGCCGCCGGAGGTGGGCGCAGTAGCGGCGCAGGGAGGGCGCCTCTCGAGGTCTGAGCCTCCTCCTCCTCCTCCGCCTCCTCCTCCTCCTCCTCCTCCTCCTCCTCCTCCTCCTCCTCCTCCTCCTCCTCCTCCTCCTCCTCCTCCTCCTCCTCCTCCGCTGAGCCTCCTCGTCCTCTTCCTCTGAGCCTCCTCTTCCAGAGGTGCGCGCAGTAGCGGCGCAGGAAGGGCGCCTCTCGAGGTCTGGTGGGGGGGCGTCCAGAGGGAGGTCCAGGAAGAGGAGGAGGCTCGGGGGAGGGGGAAGACGAGGAGGCTCAGCGGAGGAGGAGGAGAAAGGAGGAGGAGGAGGATACTCGGAGGCGGAGGTGGAGACTCGGAGAAGGAGGAGGAGGAGGAGGAGGCACAGAGGAGGAGGAGGAGGAGGAGGAGGAGGAGGAGGAGGCTCAGACCTCCAGCTGCTATGATTGTGTTGTTTGTGTCTCCCACGCCCTCTGCGGTCCACTTTCTACTCTCCGACGCCTTCTCCGCCGATCCCTGCTCCGACGCCCGGTCCGGTACAGTATCGATCCATCGGATGTCATAGACCATGTCTGCACACCCCAAGTCTGAGTCGGCCGCAGACTTGCCGAATCGTGGAGGTGTCCTGACGAGGGCCATTCCTGCGTTTAAGTTCCCACCGTACCTTGGCTTTTCGTGCCATTTGATTGTGCAAGCCCTATGTTTCCTTGCAAAAACTCCGACAATCTGTTTTTTTCAACCCCCGCGTTTTTCCTCGATCTCGGCCTCCGGGGGCCGTTTTCGGGCTCGGGGAGCCTCAACCACGAATCCAGGACAACAAAGTACCCCCATGAAGGGGTCGGGACCCCCGGGCCACCTCTCGCATTACTTACGATGGGCGTTTTTGCGATGTTTCAGCCCCCGTGGGCACTTGCCAAGCCACAGGACCGTCCAAAAAAAATATCCTGGCGAACGACCCGACCATATACAGTGGTGAGCTCCGTGTTGTGGCATGGGCTTCGGTGGAGCTCCCCATGGGGCCACGAACCGTGCGAGGGCTGCCCCAAGAAGCGGCGGCACCCTACCGCTGGGGCCTCCGGTGGAGCTCCTCTCGGGGCCACGAACCGCATGACGGGTGCGCCAATATCGGAAGGTGCCGCCTATGGACCCTGGGTGCGCCAACATGGGGCGGTGCCGCCGTGAGGACGGACCCTGCCACTGGGGCCTTCGGCGGAGCTCCCTGGGGGGCCACGACGAACCGTGCGAGGGGTGCGCCGCGGCGCCGCCACGGGGGCCCCGCTACGCAGGGCCTCCGGAGGAGCTCCTCGAGGGGCACAGGCCGCGGGTGCGCCAAAACGGGGCGGCGCCGGCATGTTGACCCTTGGTGCGCCAACACGGGGCGGCGCCGCCCTGTGGGCCCTGCCAGCGATGCCTTCGGTGGAGCTCCCTACGAGAGGCCACGAGCCCTGTGAGGAGTGCTCTAAAATGGGGCGGCGCCGCCATGTGGGCCCTACTACAGGGGCCCTCGGTGGGAATCTTTGTGGGGCTACGAACCGTGCGATGGGTGCGCCAAAATGGGGCGGCGCCGCCATGCGGGCCCTGCCGCTGCTTATGCGGTTACCGAGCATGTCAGGGGTGTGCCGCATCGGGCGCGGAGACGTTTCATGGTCATGACATGACGGCATAAGGAAGGCAGAAGCGAAAATGGAAGATGGAGGGGGAAGGGAAGAACAATAAGGAAAGAACTCGGGGCGGCGTTTATGCAAAACGAACACCCAACATCACACGATGGTTGGGAAAAAAACGGTGCGGACAAAGAAACTGGAAACTGGACACAGGAACCAAAAAAACACAACTGTCATTTGTTGAAGAGCATTTTGTCAAATAGTCACCCTGTCAGCAATAATAGAATTGGCAAGCAATGGGTCATGGGTTCTCGTTGTGCACACTGTACCAAAATATCGTTGAAAATTGGTTCCATGTTAAGCCTTCACGATGTGGACCGTGTGGGCATGGCTAGCTTGTCCGGAAAATACAATTAAACACATGTATATGATACACCCGGCCGAAGGGAGAGAAGCTGGCCGCGTGCGCGCGACCACCCTGATACTAGGCACACACAGCTGCAAAATACATAAATGTCAATGTTGCTGCGATACATGGCGCCGCCAAACTTGTCGGAGGTTACTGGCAGCGCGGCAAGAGAAGGCGAGGGGGGCGTTAGGAATGATTCCCCCCGCGGCCGTCAATGCGCGGGGCCTCCGCGCAAAGACGGACGCCAGCACCTCGGCTAACGTTCAGCGCCCTGGGCACGCTGCCCAGGGCGCAATAGCGAATAACGCGAGGAGAAAGTTCAGCTGCTTCAGGTGGCCCCATGGATGTCTGACGTCACTCCACCCCACGGCACATTGGCCCCCACGGCGCCAAACATAAAAACATGTTACGGCGCCCGTCGGAGGGGCAAAGTTACTCCCGACATTGTCGCAGGAGTAGCTGAAGCCGATCAACGCACCCCCCCCCCCTGAAAAATTACCTTCGCGCCGCACGCGCTTTCCAGAACGCTGATCACACAGTGAACTGGGCGCTCGTCACATAGTGACGGGCCACCCCCTTCAACGCCAAGAGTCACGCCAGTCTTCACACTAGCCACAGCGGTTGCCCCAGCCACCCCCGTTCCACCAGCTGCCGCAGCCCCACCACGAGCCCCTCCACGACGACCACGAGGCGCCCCCCTCCTGGCCCCAACAGGGGTTCTCGCCCTCCTTCATGGCGACGGCGATGGCCCCGCAATCCGTCGCGGCGCTGCACGCCAGCGTAAGAACCAGAGGAGGGGCCGCCGATGACGATGAGGCCGCGCGCATGCCCTTCTCCCACAATGACGGTTCGCGGCGGCGGGTCGGCGGCGGTCTGTCCCCGGGCCCCTGGCCCCCTCGTCTCTCCACGTCGCGATCTCCTTTTTGCCAGCGCCGACAGGAGAGGCCCCTCTGCCGCGCCCCACTGCCCTTGCCCGCCGACATCATGCGCGCCGAGCGGGGGCGGTTCGGTGGCTGGCTGGACCTCGCCCGCTTCCCAGCCCCGCGCCCCCGCGGCGGATCGGGCCCCAAACCAGCGCTCGAGACATAACCTCGAGACGCTGGAAAGCCCCTCGACGCAAGCCTCGGGA